TGGCGGGAGCCGCTTCGGCCTGGGCAGGGCGGTGCGAAGCCCACTCCGGGGCTCTCTTGTGGGGCTTTCTAAACGAGGGGTCTCCGTCTGGGCTGCCCCAGCCGGAGGCACGTCTCCTCCAGGTGGCACCGGACGCCTGTCCCCTCACGCCCCCTTCTCCCCTCTGGGTGCCAAGCCCGTCCAAACCCTCCTCTCTGGCGCAACCCAACCCTCCCGCGGACTCGGCCGGTGGCCCATCCACCCTGTCCCCGCACTGGCTGTCTTTGATGCGGCCTCCTTCAGGCGGTACCCCACGGCTCCAGGCAAGGGAGGTGGGCTTCCTCTCCCGGTGGCCCTGGGTCCCTCTCCCTCGCCTGGGGGCAGCGGCAGGCCTCAGGCCTGGGTGGGGACCCACAGCCTCTGCAGCTCAGAGAGGCGCAGTCCCATGTTCCTGTCCGGCTCCTGGGGAGCTGGGGCCGGCTTGGGATTTCTCCTATATGACTGAAAGTGGCCTATAGAAACCTAGAGGAATCTTAGCTTATTCTGTAGTCTTTTTGCCTCAGCATAGCGATGAGAAAGCACTCCGTCATTCTACTGCAGGACAAACAGCAGTCTATCCCATCTCCCCTGAGCAGATCTCCTTCGATACGAGATCACAGCCCAAATGACGCCCCACCTTTGGCCAAGGAATTTGTGAATTGCAAATGTCTAACAAGTCTCTTACAGGAAACTCCCCACTAGGGTGGACCTCTGTGAACTGCATGACACAGATAAGCCCCACCGTGGCAGCAATCATGTGACCGACCCACCCATCTGCCTGCTGTCCAGCATCTGACATCATCAGTACCTGCACTTATCTGCCCCTTTGTGATGGCGTGGAAGCAGACCACCACCCAATCACCTTAATGATCGTCCCTGTCTAGGGGAATGGTTAAAAGGGCTCAGCCACAAGCAACCGGCGGCCATTGCCTTGCTAGACTCTGGCGTGGCCATGTGCTCTTTGAGCTGTGGCTGTCACCACTCTTCCCGGCTTTGGTCTCCTCCCCCACCTTGGGAAGGTGAATCTTCTCTCTTCTTTCTCTTTCTCTCTCTAATCGACTTTTTTTTTTTTTTTGAGTTGGAGTCTCAGCAGTGGTCGCTCCCAGCCACTGCAGCCTC